AACACAAAACAAAACAAAACTGCAGTCACCCCCTCAACACTTTTTTGTCTTATTAGTTTAAGAAAAGGAAAATTAAGGTGTTATGTTTGTTGTCAGTAACTATAAAGTTTGCATAAATTTGGCTTATCAACTTTTTTTTCTCTTAAAAAAAATCCTTGCCTTAAGTAGCAATTCCCCCCTCGACACATTGGCTGAAATAAAATAATAGTTATTCACAGACTGGCTGGAGGTAATACACAAATCTGAGGGAAGAATTGTGTCTGTCCAGGGATGACTCAGTTTAGCTTATGTAAGAGTCTAAATGTGATTAAAGAAACAGCTCTATTATTATTTTACTCACTCATTCTCACCTCACCACGAGCAGAAATCAGGCAAGAGAACAGAACCTGACCTAAACAGGTATAAGTGTGTTAGAACAAAAATGCTTAATTGTGTGTAAAACCCGGAAACAGACGAAGCTGCTCCTTTGCTTTCTTGTTGAAAATTCATGTCGTGCTCTGTCAGAAGAAAAGCAGCTCAATTTCTGTCTTATGGTGCTTCCTCAAATAGAGCTGAAGCGCTCCTTGAGGACTTGACTCGTTGTCAGATGTAGGAGAAATGTTCCAGAGCTCTCACTGAACACATCCGTTGTGCTTCAGCTGAAGAAAGCTGAGAATAAATAAATGCATGTGTTGAACAACTGTACTCTTTATTTTATTTTTTAATTATCATATCCAGAGGTCAAACCTTACATTTGTTTAGAGCTAGTCCAGCTCATAATACCTTTATTACAACACGGTGTACTTAACAAATCAATAAGCAAACAAGCTTTTCTACGGTATATCTTGCACACAGCTGACACTCGAGTGAACACTGAACTGTGTTTTCTGAGATCTTCCCATTTTCAGCACTCTCGTTCACTTTAGATAAATCAAACCAAGCGTGAAAGCGGCCAATACTCACAAAGCAATGAAGCTGCATTTCTCAAAAAACGGTTTGATTTCAGGTGACGTTTGCACCTCTCTGTCCGCTCGCTTAAATCACACGCAGATGAATACAGAGATCTTCCAAAAACGGGCAACACTTAAAATTTTTAAACTCATGTTGACCCCCTCCCTGCACATTTGTGCTTGATATAAGAATTATAAATGGCTTAGTGAAGGGACTTCAGTGGAAAGTTTGTGGGAAAAAAGGTATTCTGACAGACACAGAGCTCCAAATTTACCACCCTGTCTCTCAGCCAATGGCTTGGATAAATATTTCACCATGTTTCCCCTCTCAGAAGTAAAAGGTTTGTGAGGTTCTCCTGGAGATGACTGACGACTGTTGCACAAGAAGGCCAGTTACAGTGTTTCAGAGCAGAAAATAGCACACTATATTGTGCTCTATGGGGTAGCCTAGTGGAGGTAATGGAATTCTCCATTAGCTTGGACATTCTGGTTACCTATGGACAGGTAATTCCTGAGGGCCGCTGTATCTACCAGAGATGTGAATAAAAAAATAATTTAAACATCACTGACTGTGTTCAGGTCACACTGTGTTATAGGAGGTGATTATAATCCACTGCCACTGTGTATTTAGCTTGCGCTTTCATCATAATGCAAGGTTCAAATATGGTATGCATTTTGAAAAATGCTCTAGATTTCTATTCAGACTTGCAGATGGTCCAGCAATGCGTAAGTCTTGAGCCACCTCTTGTTTATGTTTTCGTATAAACAGGAAATAGATGCAGCAATTTACTTATAACATGCAAATGGAGAGGCTGTTGCTTGGGAGGTAAAGCAGGTCATCGTTTATTCAGAAGCTTGGTGGTTCGAAGTCTGGCTGCTCCAGTTTTCTTTGGGCGAGATCTTGAACCTGGAGTTCAAGATTGGACTGTGAATGTTTTTTTTAGAAAACACTTATATGAAGTAAAAAGCATGAATGAGACATGTTGTACAAAGTGCATTCAAAGCTTGAGTAGAAAAAGCACCATATAAGAACCCTTTTAAATAACTGGAAATACAGTTCAATTCTAACTTGAAAGTCAATATTTGCTATGACCACCGTTTTTCTTCAACACAGTCCAATGAATGTGGATGATCTTTGCTGGGTTTTTTCCAATTTCTTGAAGACATGACTTTCAGATACTGTTCATCTACTGTAGATAGTTTTATAGGCCCTCCATCTCTCCAGTTTGTTGAGATAAACTGCACACCATGGTGAGATATACCAGGTTTTTTGATAATAGCTCATTGGGAATCACCTTGCTGGTGCAAAAATACAATTTTGTGCCTGTCAAACTATGTCTGTCTTTGGCATTTTTTATAGATTCAGCTAAAGAAACGAGAACATATGATATATTTTTAAGACAGACTGCTAGTAACCAAGTGCATAAAATGCTATTTGGTTCTTGTCTGTCTAGAGACAACACAGATTTATCCCTTTAGTTAGGTAACTTTTTGACGCTTGAATGAGTGACAGGTCAGTGTTAAGTAGTTTAATAAAAAAAAAAAACTAATATATTGACTGTAAATTTGTTAAAAAGAAGCCAATGTCTAAAGAAAAACTTTGAAAGAACACCAGGAAGCTTACAAAAAAAAATAAAAAATGAAAATGAAAGTCTGGGTCCTTGGTTCAAGACTTTTGCACATCTCTGTGTATGAAAATAAAATTTCTGTATTTTAATATCAACATTGGATTAAGTGACTGTGTGTAATGTGGGAGACATCCCTTGTAGCGATGCTGCTTGGTTTCTCAGCTCAGTTCTGTGGCGCACTTATGTTTTTTGTCTCACTCTGACAGTGCTCATAATGTGGCAGCGTGTCAGTGCTGGGGACTAACTGTGTTCAGCTGGTGAACACAGGAGTTAGTGGAGAGAGGGAGAAAGAACAGTATACTTTTATCTCTGAGCTGAATGCATGTTTCTGCCATATTAACCTATCACTGTTACGTCGTACGCGGCAAAGGGAACTACACGTACACGTTTTTTGCCGTTGTTATTGTTTCTTGTTACCCTGCCTCTCCAGGGTTAGTAAAGTTCAATTTTTAGAATGCAAAAATAAGAATGATTAAACCCACAGATGTTTGCATCAGCACATCCTGCTGCAAGATATGCAAGAAGCAGTGTAATGAAGTGTCAAAATGCGTGCTCTCTTAGCCAAACCGGCAGTCATTTGTCTCCAGAAGGACGATGAGAGGATTGTGTGTCCAATGAGAGTGTGCCTGGAAACAGCTCTGCCTTCTAAAGGTCTGAAGATGAGTCATGGTGGCAGAGAACTGCCCTCCACCCCCCACTGACAAACAAATATCCCCCCACCACAAACACCATCTTCATTACTGAGTAATGGATTCAGAGAGGAGTGTTGCATTACTGCGTATCTATTATGAATTCCGTAGAAGCATGGCACGCACTCATCTTGGCTCTGTTTCATATTTATTTGACATTGTTGTCTGTGTGTTTAGTCTCCCCTGTGAAACTTAAGTACATTTTAAGTGAGGGGTGTAAACTACTCAGATTAGTGGAGGGATTAGAAGAATGAACACAAAGTAGTTGTTATATAACATCCACTAAGGACGGATAACCTGAGCTGAAGGATCTTGGAGTCTGACAGTGTGATGGTGCGCGGCACATGAGTTTACATGGAAACTGAAAAGTTACTGTCTCGTATAACTAATGACAAAAGTAACCTACACCAACGCAACTATCAGTCGCCAGTTGTAGCTGTATCTTTTTCTTTCTTTCTTTAGTGTCGCAGTATTTTCTGCCACCGTCAGCCCACAAGACCTGCCATGGGCGACAACATAATGACACCTGTCTCAGATAAACGACTGATGTTTCATTCAGCGTGGCAGTTCTGATCCGAGGCGTGTGAGGCTTTTTAAAGCCGATTAAAAAAAAATCTGATCTGGGTTAGATGTCTGTGCGTGTGTGTTGGTGGTGAGGAAAGGATATAATAAAGCGCTCCTAGCAAAGCGCTAGTTGTAGCCCCGGTGTCCATTCAGAGTCATTCTGATTTAGATCAATACCATTTGCATTATGTGTTGGCACTAGTTAATAGGCACCAGTGTGCATCAGAGGTGCTGGACTAGAGAGCATTTTGACATTTTGTATACCTTCACTCAGATGTGTCTACAACCAGCATCTCTTAAAAACGCACTAGAAATGATTTCTGAGGAGTGTTATAATGTTATTTGACAGCCAAGTTTGTTAATGTCCATACTTAATCTGAAGGTAACAGAAAATGAGCTGCAGGTGGCAGCGAGCTCTGTAATATTTGTGACTAGCATAATACTAAGCTGTACAAACACTGGAGAAAATGTTTAAAGATGAAGTCATATTTTAAAGCTACACCTGACAAGCTGAACGTTTAAAAACCTGTCAATTGAGTAAAGACCCAAGTCGAAAAGCACTGAATGTAATTTGACAGTGAATCACAGCGATCCTTACCAAGTTTTTTTTATGTTAGAATTAACAGCAAAGCAGAAATCAGATAAATAGCCTGGAGAGTGGAATATAGAATTTTCATCAATGATGCATCTGGTGCTGATGAGTGCTGTGGGCGTGCCGCCAAAACATGCTGTGTCGTACACACAGATTTATCATTTTGTGTGAATAGTGGCTATTTTCCCAGTTTTGTACAAATTCGAGCCTTTCACACCTCATTTTGTCCTTATTTTTTTTCCCTGACACCTCCAGCTGCTATTTGAAACCACTGAGCTGCCTGTTTGATTGATAGCTCGTTCTCTACTTACCAAGCTCAAAGAGCCAAAGAAAAAGCAGCAAATAACCCTCCGGGCAATGACAGAGCTTAAGACCTTTCATCCAGATGTCTGTCTTTGAAATGAGGGGACGTTTCTTTGATGCTACCACACTACAAGCCTAAAAGGGTGGATTGTAAATGATAAATGAACAATAAGATTTTGCTTTTGACATGACAGAGAGAATATATTAGATGAGGAGTTTAAAACAAGATGTCAATGTGACATCAAATGCTTTTAGTACTTGCTAATGATGCTTCATTTGTCTCCTTTTCTCGCAGGTATCTGGGGATCACACGACCTCTCACCTACCCAGCCCGGCAGAACGGTCAGCTGATGGCCAAGATGATCCTGGGAGTCTGGCTGGTGTCAGCATCCATCACACTGCCGCCTTTCTGTGGCTGGGCCAAAAACGTCCACACAGCCGGTGTGTGCCTCATTAGCCAAGACTTTGGCTACACCATCTATTCCACAGCTGTGGCCTTTTATATCCCTATGCTGGTCATGCTGGTCATGTACTACAAGATCTTCAGGGCAGCTCGCAAGAGCGGCGCCAAGCACCGCTTCACCGACCTTTCACGACGCGAGCGTCTCGAAACAGTGGCTAACGAGGCTCTCCGAATGCAGGGCCTGAAGCCGCCCGGCGTGGCAGAGGAGTGTGCCGCATTGTCCCGCCTGCTGACCCGCGAGCGCAGAAACATCTCCATCTTCAAGCGGGAACAAAAAGCGGCCACGACACTGGGGGTGATTGTGGGCGTCTTCGCCGTGTGCTGGCTGCCCTTCTTTATCCTGTCCACCGCCAGGCCCTTTATCTGCGGAGTGGAATGTAGCTGTGTGCCCATCTGGCTGGAGCGCACGCTCCTGTGGCTAGGTTACGCCAACTCCTTAATGAATCCCTTCATCTACGCCTTCTTCAATCGAGACCTGCGCTCCACTTATCGTGACCTTCTCCGGTGTCGCTATCGCAACATCAACCGTCGGCTTTCCGCCGTGGGTGTACACGAAGCTCTCAAAGTGTAAGGCCGAATGGTTAAAGTCGCTGCTCTTGGACACTCGGTGCTTAAAGGGCGACACATAAACAGCCGGCCTGCAGACAGACACGGCCTAACGGGATAAAAGTCAGTGTTAGTGGCTCGCTGCAGACAGCACAATCACTTCAGTGTGTGAGTCAGTCATTCTATTTTTGGAAAGAAAATCACAGAGCGTACTTGATGGACTATTCAAGTCGACACTGCTTTTGTGCATATGCCACAATTCCATCCTGTTCCAGATTTATGATGGAATAATGCCGTAACAAAGGAAATGACATATAAACACAATCAATCATTCTAGGGCTTTCAAAGAGACCATAAGGCAAGCAGATTTCTGTATATTTACAAAATTGATGTTTGATAACAAATAACGTTTGTTTCGTGGCTTTCTGAGCATCTCCCTCTCATCGTGTATCCACGCAAATCCCCGATGATTATTTTTCAAACGGGAGGTAAACACTTTGAGGCGTATTACAGGACTGAAACTTATATCACGCCATCTAAAGTCAGAGCCTTCAAGCTGGTCCTCCGACTGAATTTATTTTGAGCACCCTAGATGTCACCCAGTTGTTTAAAATCTGGTGATTCTAAGTAGAACAAAGTGGGGTGGAAAATGCTGATTTAACACAACATAGTGAGAACTTCTCAGTGTTTGAAGGTAGTTTGTTTTGTGTCTGCATGAAACACATTTTTCTTACATGCCACTGTATACATTAATCAAAACAGAAGTGGTGGCAGCGGTGTTTCATGGGTAACCCAGACACTGCATCGCACAGAAACCATGATACTGTGGAGCTTTTCACTTTTCTCCAGGCAACTAAACGTTTCCACTTTAATAATTAGAATTTCCACATTCTTAAGACTCGTTTTCCTCACTGGTTGTTGACAGTGTTTTTATCTCTCTTTTCAATCAGGATGTGTGCCCCCCCCAGTTCAGTACATTTCCTTTTTATCTCCTCAGTGACTTGTACGAACCCATGTCCGATATCATCAGTCGAGCAGTGTGTGCTTATTTTCTACCTCGATTTTTTGAAATGCTCTACATTTCCTCCCCCCAAAAAAGGTGTACTGCTGTATCATTTTGTATCGAAATGCTATTTTTTATTGTGTGAAGTCAATCTGTCTACAGCTGTGTGCGAGCGCTTTGAGTGACCACTCTGTTATTACCTTGAGAAAGAAGTTGGGGAAAGCGGTAAAAGTATTTCATCACTTTGTAAATAAAGAAACACCAAAAATGTCACTGTGGCCTAGATTAGTGTGAAAGCCATTCGTGCAAAGTCAGTGAAGTTCTTGTTCTTTGGACTGAGATTGCAGTGATTTAGGAGACAATCAACATGGGTCTTCTTGCTTTCTAGCCCCCACGGAGCATCCTCAAATGCCTGATGCACCCAGTATGTCATGCATAGAAATAAAGACCAACCTTTAAGCCCATTAGAAGTCTTTGATACATTTGTGACCTTTCTTAAAGCAGTATCGCCAAGACTGTTGGGCTACAGCTAGGATTCTTAAGGATGGTTGCCCCTCCCGTCTGCCCCAGAAATGCCTTTGTGTTAAGTCTGCTTTGAGCAAATGCTTTTATTCAGAGTCTGGGTAACAGCTGTCTGCTTACTCCAAGGGAAAAACAGTGACGAAGAAGAGTAAAGTAGGATGTGTCTCGTCTTGTGGTCAGAAGGTATGTCTCAGTACAGACATATTTGGGTTGTGTTTGTAGAGGAGTGTCACTGTATCACAGGCAAATCACCACTTCAAATATATTTAACACATAAAGACCAACTTAGAAGACCAACAACATGGCTTTCCAATCATATTATTAAGGCTGACACCAAACAAGCCTTTTTATTTTGTGTGTACATACATATTCCTTCACTCACATACACATACAAACTGTTTCATCAAAATGACTTTGCACATCACAGGTATGATACGGCCAAACTCATTTATTTAAAAATTTTGCCTCAGGAGACCATACCAGGGGCAAATGCATCATAGAAATGCATCATAGACAACATACTTGTGGGATCACTCAGACATGCAAACCCTTCACCTTAAAAAGGTCGGAGAAAGAACATAAAAGTAATACTTTTCATTTTGCAGACAGGTGCTAACTTACTATGGGTTTTCAGAGCTTTCTCCTCAAAATAGTTACTTGCTTTGGTTGAAGAGCTGTTGTGGTAAACTGTGAATTGTAGCAACTTTGACACTTCCTGTCCAATGCAACAAAAGTCATTGCAAGTTTTCCTGATTTTGAAGAGAAATTAGGCTAGCTTTATTTAATCCAGAAGAATGCTGTTACTGTTCATCATGACACAACTGCAGCGACATACAATCCCAACACAAATGTGATTTTTCGAAATGTTTTCAACTGATTCCTGTATAAAATCTCTTGGACAACCCTTTAAATGTGCCGCTTTTAATATTATTACTGTTATTACATGAGTCCAAAAATAAGCCTTGGCGGAACATTTGGCCATTTCCTTGATTTCACCATCTGTCAAATGGTTTGGTGGGATGGTACCCAAATCTAACATAAGGACATTCCTAATTATACTCTTTCATTTGCACTATGAATGGCTCTCCAAGTCAGTTGAACAATGTTATGCAATTCAGCCCTGCTGACAATAAGAAAAACCCATATGATGATCACAGGGGATAAAATCTAGTTAACCGGCCCTTTGCAGACTAAAGTCTATTTAGGGTTCAGAGTCCCTGGAGTAAAGAGCAGCAACACAGCCTCAACCCGCACGCTGACATTTTGTTTCAGCACACTCAGAGGAGGCAGCGCTGGTGGATCTTGTGCGCTGCCCCTAAGACCTTCAGACTCCCGGCAACCATGTCAACGGGCGTTACTCTCAGGGAGTGAGCACCACTGCGCCTGCGAGGAGCACCTGCCCTCTCGGTCACCGTGTCTGGCCTCCTGTGCTGGCGCCTGATGTGTGTCATCGCTGTCGGTGAACGGGAGGAACTATTTTCATTTGATGTAGTACATTCATCTAAGGGAGAAGGATAGTAGCTGAGAGTCTTTCACATATGCTGCCCAAAGGCTCAGTTGCCAGCTCTGACAAGCTGTGGGGGTTGATGTGGGGACTATCCACTCGTGCTTTGCTATTTTTAATCTGTCCCAGCAATTAAACGAGGAAGCTCTGATTAAGCATGGGGGAAAAGGAATTTAAAGTACTGTGATTTTGCTATGCTTCCATGTACCCTCTGCACATGCAAATAATAATAATAATTATTGATTTGGAGATAGTCTTTGATACTGCATAGGACAATTATGGTGACCAGGAACTTGTAATATTTCTATTCAACTCACTTAATACATGATTAGTCCACATTTATTGTGTTTAAAATACAGTTTGTGTTTCTTTCAGTACATGACAAAGTCAAGTTCATTTATATACAATATGTTTTGTAGCTGAGGACACGTCACATGTTGGTGCAAAAACTTTTGGAAAGTATGAGTCTGACTTTCAACAAAAAACAAAGAACAAAAAATGTGTGCATTAACATTTACACTGCGTGAACAGAATAAAGTACACGCGGTGGTTTCCAACATGTCAACGGAAGGACTGGACGTCCTGAGACGATTTTAACCAGGTAAGAAATAAGAAATAAAAAATTGTAATAAATTATTATTATTTTGCTTAATTTTGTGATTTGCCACAGTTTCCTTCTTAAAGCCCCTAAAACGGTGCAGGTGGTTCCATTAAGGTTGGAAACACCTGCACCTCATACAAAATTAAAGGAGCCTTGTGATATTTTCACTGAATGTGCATTTAGGCTTTCATTTAATATTTCTTAATAAAAGAAAGCATGCATTAAACTATTTTTCTGTCTTTGTAAGGTGAATGTTGGGATTTTCATATTGTACATTGTTTAAGTGTGTGCTTACCTCTAAGCATCATCACAGTGAGCTTAATAGCATCATTGTCATTTGCACTGAAGACTCTGTATGTAACAAATAGTAAAACAGAGTAATTAGCACCGGCAGCGAGCTTGATTAAAAGATTTATTTTTACAGTTATTCACTGTGGGAACAAAATAATTAATTTAAGAAAATCATACATTATATTTAAAGTTATTAAATATTCTCCAATGCTTCCCTTCTCTAACTATAAGATGGATATATGGGTAGTTGCTGAATTTCAATTTTTAATGTAACAGACTAGTTATTTCTTTTACATGTAACTTATCAAAGCCACTCTCAGATTATTCCAAACACACATCGATGTAAATCTGGTTTCTGAGATATTTTGGGCACACGTGTACCCGGATGTTACATCCTCAAATATAATCAGGGCCATAAATGTAGCCTCGTTTCCCACCTACTAATTAAAAAGGGAAGCTATAAATACACCAGTAAACATGTCAATTATGTGTTAATCCAATTTATGCGGTGTGTCCTGAAATATCAACTTCCTCCCACGGCCACCACCCATGGCCAATCACAGCATGAGTATCTGTTCATTGTCTATGGGACTTCCTGTGGGGATGGGCCCGTGGCAAATGCAGATAAGTTATCTAAGTGTCACCAAGAAGTTTTTCCCCCTCATTTTATTTTGTGGAGGCAGCAACCTGTAATTAGGTTTTGTCATAGAGCTGGAAGGTAAATGTCTGCTTTTTAAGGTTGCAAGCATCAAAGAACCTGTGTATGAGGGGAGCCTCTCCTGTACACTTCAAAGTGAACGAAGTAGATATAACACTTCTTTTGCATAGCAGTTTTTTTTTCAACTCGGGTATGAGAGCATGGACTTGATGCCTTGTATTTGCACACATGTTCACAGTGCTGGCTGCCAAGAAACCCTCCTACACGGCTTGTATCGGATAAGCCTGTCGATTGTTCTGCACTGCATCTTTGAGGCCAATCAGTAAGAGTGTGAATGTGTGTGGAAAGGCCCCCATATGGTCTAATGCTCCACGTTCCCTTAATATGTTAAGCGTATCACAATAGTAGCACTTCCTAAAACCATCCGCTGCTTTTTGGGATCTTAAAGAATTTGCAGACATTGTGATTAACCTACAAGCCCATTCACATGGAGGTCTGATATTTTTGCATCTTCCCATTTCAGTGCCAGGTTTTGTTTAAATGGATTTTCTTTTATAAATAGGCTACAGTATTTGTGGTGGTAAAAACATATTGCGAGCCACATTTTTCAGACAGACTTGATTTTCCAGAATTAAAACTCCCACTTGGAACAGTGTGACATAAAATAATAATAATTAAAAAAAGAAAAAAGAACAAAACAGAATCTACCACAGAGTTATTATTAGGCTTGCAATCTCATGAAATAACCTATCTAATAAAATATTTTAGGATGCAGAGAAATGTCAGCAATCGATTATTTAGTGGATGGACAGACTTGAAATGATTAGTAAGATTAGAATAAGTTTTTTCTTTTATCAGACTCACTTAAACATATTCACCACACATCAGTTGTCTGTCGTTTTGTTCGTATACATCTCACACAGTGACCAGGACAGGTCAGCTGCTTGTCATCTGCTCAACTAGCTTAATTGCTGTCTCGCTGCCTTTTAAGAACAGTGAAAGAAAACAGCAGTTTGGTGAGATTGAGGATAATGGGCTGCCTTTTGCAACCAGCAGCCTATGAAATGACAGTAAATGCCTCAACCTGCAAAGGCCACCATTTGGTGTGAATTAATTCTTTGTAATTGTGTGCAAGACGCAGATTTAAAATGCAGTTCCATTGTCAGACTGAGGAACATTAAGTAGCGGGCTTTTATGCAAGTTAACAAAGCACAAAAAATTAGATATATTAAAGCCACTGTGAGTTGGTTATTATGTGTTCAATCAACTCAGTCGCTTTGCCATTTAGTTTCATTTTGTCATTATGGGAAGGAGGATTTTGGATAAAACTCCTCCGTTTATCCAGACTTGGAACCGACATTAGAAGTGCTAGGTTGTGTCTCTTCCTGGAATAAAACCAGAGATCTTTCACATGCAAAGGTGAAAGTGTTAATCACTATACAATGGAGCGACTAAATAAAGTTTATACACTGTAACAAAGAAAAAATCCATAGAATAGACTGAGGTCTGACCAGAAAATTACCAGTGCAATTTCTATTAACCTTATGGGGAATTCCAGTATTTGTAAAACAGAACAATTTATCATTTTAAAGAACTGTGAAATGTTTTATTAATCATTTCTGTAGTTAATGGGCACTTTCATCTGTTCAGTTTTGTATCCTCTATGTCAATAATGGATGTTTCCTTCACTGGTCGGAAAATTCAGTGTACATCATTAATCATATAAATTGAATAATTCAGCATATCTTCATCATTTGCCAGAAATGTGTTTAGCACTAAAGTTTTATAACGACCTAATCTAGCCATTGTTACGACCTTGAGGCCAGAGGCCGTAACAGCCATCAGTAGCCCACAAATTGTCGCAAAAACCCAGTTAGTTTCCTCACCT